TATATGGCCCAGTGCACGAAATTCATGCATGGGGGGAGGGTCCCTCAGCCCGGCCTGTACCCTCTCACAATCCGGATGTCCAACTGCTGGTTTAGGCCCGATCCCACAGGGATACATCCCTCTCGCAATCCTGGACTGCTGGCTCCTAACTGCTTACCTGCCTGCCTGCCTCATCGCCCCTAACCACTCACCTGCCTGCCTCATCACCTCTAACCAGTCTTCCTGCCTGCCTGAGCATCCCTAACCACTCCCCTGCCTTAACCGCTTGCCTGCCTGCCTCACCGCCCCTAACCGCTAACCTACCTGTTTAATCGCCCCTAACTACTCTGCTTGCCTGCCTGATTGCCCCTAACCACTGTGCATTGCTTCCTGATTGCCCCTAACCACTTGCCTGCCTGTCTGATCGCACCTAACTGCTCACCTGCCTGCCTTATCATCCCTAACTGCTCACCTGCATGCCTGTTTGCCCCTCACCCCCTCTGCCTCAGCCCTGCCTCCACAGCTTCATCTGGAAGGATGTTCAGAATGACGTCCGGAAGGTTGTTCGGCTGTCTGGTCTAATTAGCATATTACACTTTTATTATTATAAACTAGAGGCCCAGTGCATGAAATTTGTGCACAGGTAGGTAGGGTCCCTTGGCCTGGCCAGCAATCAGGGCTGATTGGGGCCTTCTGGCTGCTTCCGGGGAATTCCTTCCCTGGCTGCTGGCTGCCAGCTGAGGTCTTCCTTCATTCGGTGTCATCCCCTGGTGGTCAGCACACGTCATAGCGAGTGGTCGAACTCCTGAGGGGACAGTTTGCATATTAGCCTTTTATATATAGAGACTACACAAGATTAATGCACCAGGGGGCTATCTCAGCCCAGCCTGCACCCTCTCACAGTCCAGGACCCCTCGCTCCTTACCACCTGCCTGCAGCAGAGGCAGGAGGGGCTCCCGCCACTGCCGCTGTGCTTGCCAGCTGTGAGCCCGGCTTCTGGCTGAGCTACACTCCCCCTGTGGGAGCGCACTGACCACCAGGAGGCAGCTCCTGCATTAAGCATCTGCCCCCTGGTGGTCATTGCAAGTCATAGCAACCAGTCGTTCCACCGTTTGGTTAATTTGCGTATTAGGCTTTTATTATATAAGATAAAATAGATTATTTCTTCAAACAGGTTTTCTATTCCTTGCTCAGCTTCTTCTCCTTCTGACACCCCCACTATGCAGATGTTGTTTCATTTCATGTTGTTCCAAAGTTCTCTTAAACTCTCCTCCTGCTTTTTAATTATTTTTTCCCATTGCTCTTCAGATTGGGTGGTGTTTCTATCCCGTCTTCTAACACCCTGACTGGGTCCTCAATTTTCAATGAAAGTTGAAATCTTTCATTGTGTTCTTTATTGCAGTTATGTCATTCTTCATTTCCTCTTGATTCTTACACAAGTTGGTGAATTTCTTATCCAGATGTTTGAGCTTCCATTTCATCTAGTTCCTTTTCTGGCAATTCCTCCTTTTCTTTCCTATGGGGATTATTTCTCTGTCTCCCCATTTTTGTTGTCCCTTTGTATTTGTTTCTATGTAATGTCAGTTGCTGTCTCTTTCTAACCCTGGGCAACCTGATTGACCTCCAACTCGTTGAAGCAGCCCCTAGCAGTCTAATGGTCTAGATTCCCTTAGCTCAGAGGCTGGGTCTGCCCTTCAGTCCTCACGCCTTTATGTCTCTGCTCTGAGTTGTACTTCCTTCCCCCCATGGATATGGTCCCTTAGTTGTCCACTACAGATGTTCGGTGTTGATGGGAGCGTGTGTACAGTTCCTCTGGTACGCGACTCCCTGTAGGGTCCCAGATCCCTCTGGCATACAATTCACTGTACAGCCTCGGCACCCACAGCAGGGTGTCACTCTAGGTTCCTCTGGCGGGTGTTGGCAGTGTGGGCCTGAGGCCTAGATGGAGCCCTGTTCCAGGTGCCTTAGGTGCACACTCACAGCATGAGGTTGCAGGGTCCTGGAGTGCAGGATCCTGGAGTGCGGGGTCCTGGACCCCATGTGGGGAAGCGCAGATGGTCTCTCTGGTGTGCACTCACTGTGGATGTCTGGGAGCCCGTGGTGAGGTAGTGCTCCACTCACTGCAGGGGAATGGCGGTGGTCCCTTGTGAGTTATGGCTGGCGAGAGGCTCACTGCATGGGTTCACAGTGGTGTCTGAGGCCAGTCTGGGTATTGGTGTGGCTATGATCCTGGCCTTTGCTGCTCCCCCCTTCAGGATGGCATGGTCTCCACACCAGAGCCGAGCCCAGCCTGGAAGTGCCTGTGGCAGTAGCAGGGGCTCCCTGTCCAGAAGAGCCTGATCTGCCAGCCCCAGAGACTCCTGTGATATCTAACTGCCCCTCACTGACCCACACACACACCACACACTCCCGCCCCCACTCCTATACTCACTCACACTCTTTCCCTCACTGCCATCCTGCTGGCTGCCATGTTGCAATCTCCCCAGTAAAATAATTTTTTGAAATTATTATTTTATGAGATTTTTTTAGGCTAACCAATGGGATTTTATTTAGCTTTATCAAGATGTCAAGAGTCCTGGCTGGGTAGCTCAGTTGGTTGGAATGTCGTCCCAATGCATCAAGGTTGCAGGTTCGATTCCTGGTCAGGGCACATAAAAGAATCAAACAATGAATGCATAAATAAGTGGAACAACAAATTGATGTTCTCTCTCTCTCTCTCCCTCTCTTCCTTCCTCCCCGTTTTTCTCCCTCCCTTCTGCTTTCTCTCAAATCAATAAATAAAAATTTAAAAATAAAAGATAGTGATTCCTCAAAAAATTAAAAATGGAACTGCCATTTGACCCAGTGACCTCACTTCTGGAAATATATCCTAGAATTCTGAAACACCAATCAGAAAGAATGTATGCACTTCTATGTTCATAGCAGCATTATTGACAATAACTAAGAATTGGAAACAGCCCAAGTACCCATCAGTAGATGAGTGGAAAAAAGATGTGGTTCATTTAGACCATGGAATACTATGTAACTGTAAAAAAGAAGGATCTCTTACCCTTTGAGGCACCATGGAGGGGCCTGGAGAGTATTATGCTAAATGAAATAAGCCAGTCAGAGAGAGACAAGTTTCACATGATCTCATTTATATGTAGAATCTAAGGAACAAAATAAACTGACAAACAAATAGGTTCGGAGACATGGAAGCATGGAACAGACTGACATCTCAGAGGGGCAGAGAGGTCAGTAAGAGATTAACCAAAGAACTTATATGCATATATGCATAGCCCATGGACACAGAGAATAATGTGCTGAAGGCCTGGGTTGGGCAGGAGCTGTGCAAAGTGTGTAAAGGGGGGAAATGGACATCTGTAATACTGTTGACAATAACAATTTTTTTTAAAGTTGCCAGAAATTTCAATGTGATTCAATTCCTAACATCATATATTAATATATAATCCTATCATTGTATATTAATCCCAAATCCCAAGTTATGTACCTCAAAATAATGAACATGCACATCATTTATTTAAAATTTTCTCCTCTTGCAAATACTTAGGATCTTATTTGTACTTATTGTAAAATTGCTTAAGAATAGAATTGTGGAACTGCCCAGTGTTAATCTATATTATAGTTATTTACTGAATATATATGGCTTTAATTTTGATATTAACATAGAATCGGTCAGTTTATTTATAACCTTCATATGAAAGTTCCCATATGGCCTACCCTCTTAGTGCATCGGTCCCTCTGCTGCTTACTGCCTTGTTCCTCCTCTATCCCCATGTTTCAGCCTACATCTCTTCTCAGGGTTGAACCATCTGTCTGGTGGCCCACCACCAGACTCACTCCTGGGAATTAGATGTCACCTGCACACCTTCTCTAACCAATCCAGTGCCTTTAGTGTCAGGTACTCCTAGTTTCCAAGAAACTGCGCATAGTGTTTACATGTTTAGTGGTGTTGCTAGAACTTGAGGGCTTGGATTTATTTAAGAACTCTGTGAGTTCCTATTTTTTAATAAACATGTCTTGGTGGTAAAAGTTATTGTATCTTCTTACTTTCCCTCTCATCTCTTGATTTATGTTTTCTTTCTCTCAGGCTAGCTGTAAAACTTCTTCAGTGTAACAGCTTATGATACAGATGTTCTATCTTCATCTGTGTCAGCAGTCCTTTCTTTGCCTGCAAAGATAAAAGGAAAGCAACTCCAGAAAGGAATTTGACCTCTGAATATCAGGATCATTATCTTTAAATTTCTCTAAGAATCTAGAACTAATGATTCTCAACTTAGTAATGCCCCCTTATAACAACTTTTTTTGTCATATTTTCCTTAGTATTCTGAAATGAAGTTCAAAGATAATACTTACCTATTCTTAATAATTTTTTAGGAAAAAAAAATCTACATTTCAACACCAGTGTCTGCATCTGACATCTATAATATAAAAGAGGACAGTAAGGAAAGTCATCCATGGTAAACTACTCTGAATGTCAACACCCTCAGTGCTCCGACACTGTCACACAGACAAATGTGCTGAAATGTTCACGTGCCCCCTGAATTCACAGTCCCCCAGGCAAACTAACACAGATGCGGGCCAGGTGTGGCATTGCCTTCCGTGTTATCATTTTCCAAACTGTTGACTAATTCTTGTTAAATCTTCAAAACCAAAAAAGTACAGTCTTCCCTCAACACATAGTAATTACAGTCCTTGAAAATTTAGAAGCTATTTTACCTGTGCAAAAAGTCTTTGTTTAAATGTACAAATGTTCAATTCCAAACTTGTATCATTATGAATGAAGTTTTCATGCCCAGAGATGAAAGGGAGCACTTGAAAGTCAGGTGTGACATGAGGCAGTTCCTCACCATGGAGGAGAGCCTCACACGTTGCAGGACATCTGGCAGTGCCTTTCCCTGTGCCCACAGTGTCAGCAGCACCCTCCCATATCACCAATATTACCAAAAGTGTCTCCAATAGTTTTGAATACGACCCCTAGAAGGTGGTATCATACCCATAAAAAACACTGATAGAGAACACTGAGGATGCCTGGTAATAACTCTGATTCTGTTTTATTAAAGAGTCTAATTGTTATACAAACCTACGTCAGAGCCATTGTTATACGGAGAGATCACTGTTAGTCTTGTTGTTCAACTGTAAGTAAACCTATTGAGTGTCAAGTCCATATTTATTGTATTCAGAGGGTCCGACATGGTTCCAGGCAATTAATTGGTGCTCAGTAGCTGTCTGTTGAATGAATAAAGACTCATGAACACTGACCCGCTTTTCAAAGCAACTAAGATGTTCATTAGTAATACATACACCACTTATATCAAACTGCACTCGTAAGATATTCCCATTAAACTATTAAATGCTGGATTGTACAAACCTAGAAAATAGTTAATGAGTTGTACCTTGTTGGAGAAGATGATCTTTCTTCGCCTCTTAAATTTTTAAAATATAACATGTAAGAAAAGAGATGCTGGTAACATTTACAGACTGGTGGTTTTTTTTCTTTTAAAAAATTAAACTCTTCCATCCTTACGAAATTATTGAGAGCTTTTGAGGGCATAGAAAAGCAATAAAGACAGTCTTATCCTTTTAGAGAGATGGGCTACACATTTAGAAGCAGTAAAGCTAATACCCAAGTGCCATATGGAACAGGGATGTCTTTAAATACAGTCAGAGGCCAGAAAATTGATATTCATAGTAGTCACTTCATGGACAGGGAAGGTTTGACCACTATCTAAGTGACCAGTAGAATTTGAACTGGTCTTGGCAAGGAGAGGAGAATGTAACAGTGGTCTGATGAGTGTGGATGGGAGGCATCAGGGGAGTGGCCGGGTGATGATGGGTAGAAGATGCTGGCTGTGGTGATGATGGGAAGAAGAAGTTTGCCATTTTGGGAAAAAATTTAAAGAAAGTTGGTTGGCAGTGTAGGGGGAAAATGATTATTTAATTTTGACCTGAATTACTTTAAAAACCTCATGTTAACTGTATGATACTTTTTTAAGTGTCCTCAGAGATCTGGTTGCTTTTTCATTTTACTCATTTGTGCTAGTGAAAAGAAAGTGTTCATGGTCAGTTTTTTAATCGCATGCTTACTGATAATGTTAAGCAAGTACCCAAAAGCAAGAATTAGAAAAGAAAAAATGTTTTAATCTTTTGTAATTATTTTACATTATTATTATATTATTTTGAATTGCTTTCATTCAGTTAACTAATGTTAGAACAGATGAGAACACAAAGTTAAAGGAATGCTGTGTGTTGAGCTATGCTTGGGTCTGGAATCAAAAGACATTTACGGTTATGCCACCTTAGGTAATAATTTTACCTGGTGAACCTCAGTTTCCCCATCTTTAAAATGGAGCAATACCTCATTTATAAGCACACACACAGAGGTCTGGATTAAGTGCAATAGGATGTAAAATAGCCCATTATGTGGCACATAGAAGGCACTTAATAACTATCATGTCTCTTATTAGACTAAAATATTTAACCCCTTTAAGGTTAGGTACAATTTGTATTCAGTCTGTAAATGTTACCAGTATTTCTTTTCTTATGTGTTATGTTTTAAAAATTCAACAGACAAAGGAAGATAATCTTCTCCAACTAGGCATGGGTCATTGACTATTTTCTAGGCTTGTACAATCTAGTATTTAATAGCTTAATAGTAATATCTTATCAATGTGTTAGTTCTTTTGAAAATAGGGTAGGTGTTCATGAGTCTTTATTCATTTAACAAATAGCTATTAAATCTCATAAAAATTACATCTCCTCAGCCAAGCAAGTATGTATTATCTGAGTGACCTTGGTTTCTTTAAACTTCTGTTTTTTCATCTATAAAGGAGGGATAATGTATAAACTCATAGAGTTATTATAAGAATTAAATGAGATGATGCATGGAAACTGCTAAGCATCAGTACTGGCACATAGCAGTCTCTCAATAAATAATATCATTCTATACTTATGCTCTTAATATCATTATGATGCCTACTAAGTGCTATGTACATACACTACCTCTTTCTATCATTCTTATAGTCCTAAGTGGTGTGTATTTTTATCTAGGCTTTATTGAGGTATGATTGACAGATACAATTGTGTGTGTGTGTG